GCCATGTGCCACTTTCAGGTCTCCTCACACTGCTGGTGTGTTGAATTTTTTGACATAGGGTGCTGGCAGATTACGGGCCTCCCATAGCTGCTGCCAGGCCCCTAATCTGCCATGGGCCCCTATATACCGCCTCCTCATGCTGCTGCCAAGGTCCAGAGTCTCTCATGGGTCCCTGTACGGCCTCCCATTGCTGCTGTCTCCATCGCCACACTCTGCCATGTGCCACTTTCAGGTCTCCTCACACACTGCTGGTGTGTAGAATTTTTTTTGACATAGGGTGCTGGCAGATTACGGGCCTCCCATAGCTGCTGCCAGGCCCCTAATCTGCCATGGGCCCCTATATACCGCCTCCTCATGCTGCTGCCAGTCCAGTCTCTCATGGGTCCCTGTACGGCCCCCCCATTGCTGCTGTCTCCATCGCCACACTCTGCCATGTGCCACTTTCAGGTCTCCTCACACTGCTGGTGTGTTAAATTTTTTGACATAGGGTGCTGGCAGATTACGGGCCCCCATAGCTGCTGCCAGGCCCCTAATCTGCCATGGGCCCCTATACCCCGCCTCCTCATGCTGCTGCCAGGTCCAGAGTCTCTCATGGGTCCCTGTACGGCCTCCCATTGCTGCTGTCTCCATCGCCACACTCTGCCATGTGCCACTTTCAGGTCTCTCCTCACACTGCTGGTGTGTTGAATTTTTTGACATAGGGTGCTGGCAGATTACGGGCCTCCCATAGCTGCTGCCAGGCCCCTAATCTGCCATGCCCTATATATACCGCCTCCTCATGCTGCTGCCAAGTCCAGAGTCTCTCATGGGTCCCTGTACGGCCCCATTGCTGCTGTCTCCATCGCCACACTCTGCCATGTGCCACTTTCAGGTCTCCTCACACTGCTGTGTGTGTTTGAATTTTTTGACATAGGGTGCTGGCAGATTACGGGCCTCCCATAGCTGCTGCCAGGCCCCTAATCTGCCATGGGCCCCTATATACCCGCCTCCTCATGCTGCTGCCAAGTCCAGAGTCTCTCATGGGTCCCTGTACGGCCTCCCATTGCTGCTGTCTCCATCGCCCACACTCTGCCATGTGCCACTTTCAGGTCTCCTCACACTGCTGGTGTGTTGAATTTTTTGACATAGGGTGCTGGCAGATTACGGGCCTCCCATAGCTGCTGCCAGGCCCCTAATCTGCCATGGGCCCCTATATACCGCCTCCTCCTCATGCTGCTGCCAGTCCAGAGTCTCTCATGGGTCCTGTACGGCCTCCCATTGCTGCTGTCTCCATCGCCACACTCTGCCATGTGCCACTTTCAGGTCTCCTCACACACTGCTGTGTGTGTTGAAATTTTTTTGACATAGGGTGCTGGCAGATTACGGGCCTCCCATAGCTGCTGCCAGGCCCCTAATCTGCCATGGGCCCCTATATACCGCCTCCTCATGCTGCTGCCAGTCCAGAGTCTCTCATGGGTCCCTGTACGGCCTCCTCCCATTGCTGCTGTCTCCATCGCCACACTCTGCCATGTGCCACTTTCAGGTCTCCTCACACACTGCTGTGTGTGAATTTTTTGACATAGGGTGCTGGCAGATTACGGGCCTCCCATAGCTGCTGCCAGGCCCCTAATCTGCCATGGGCCCCTATATACCGCCTCCTCATGCTGCTGCCAAGTCCAGAGTCTCTCATGGGTCCCTGTACGGCCTCCCATTGCTGCTGTCTCCATCGCCACACTCTGCCATGTGCCACTTTCAGGTCTCCTCACACTGCTGGTGTGTTTTAAATTTTTTTTGACATAGGGTGCTGGCAGATTACGGGCCTCCCATAGCTGCTGCCAGGCCCCTAATCTGCCATGGGCCCCTATATACCGCCTCCTCATGCTGCTGCCAAGTCCAGAGTCTCTCATGGGTCCCTGTACGGCCTCCCATTGCTGCTGTCTCCATCGCCACACTCTGCCATGTGCCACTTTCAGGTCTCCTCACACACTGCTGGTGTGTTGAATTTTTTGACATAGGGTGCTGGCAGATTACGGGCCTCCCATAGCTGCTGCCAGGCCCCTAATCTGCCATGGGCCCCTATATACCGCCTCCTCATGCTGCTGCCAAGTCCAGAGTCTCTCATGGGTCCCTGTACGGGCCTCCCATTGCTGCTGTCTCCATCGCCACACTCTCTGCCATGTGCCACTTTCAGGTCTCTCCTCACACACTGCTGTGTGTGTTTCATTTTTTTTTTGACATAGGGTGCTGGCAGATTACGGGCCTCCCATAGCTGCTGCCAGGCCCCTAATCTGCCATGGGGCCCCTATATACCGCCTCCTCATGCTGCTGCCAAGTCCAGAGTCTCTCATGGGTCCCTGTACGGCCTCCCATTGCTGCTGTCTCCATCGCCACACTCTGCCATGTGCCACTTTCAGGTCTCCTCTCACACTGCTGGTGTTTGAATTTTTTGACATAGGGTGTGCTGGCAGATTACGGGCCTCCCATAGCTGCTGCCAGGCCCCTAATCTGCCATGGGCCCCTATATACCGCCTCCTCATGCTGCTGCCAAGTCCAGAGTCTCTCATGGGTCCCTGTACGGCCTCCCATTGCTGCTGTCTCCATCGCCACACTCTGCCATGTGCCACTTTCAGGTCTCCTCACACACTGCTGGTGTGTTGAAATTTTTTGACATAGGGTGCTGGCAGATTACGGGCCTCCCATAGCTGCTGCCAGGCCCCTAATCTGCCATGGGCCCCTATATACCGCCTCCTCATGCTGCTGCTGCCAAGTCCAGAGTCTCTCATGGGTCCCTGTACGGCCTCCCATTGCTGCTGTCTCCATCGCCACACTCTGCCATGTGCCACTTTCAGGTCTCTCTCACACACTGCTGTGTGTTGAATTTTTTGACATAGGGTGCTGGCAGATTACGGGCCTCCCATAGCTGCTGCCAGGCCCCTAATCTGCCATGGGCCCCTATATATACCGCCTCCTCTGCTGCTGCTGCCAAGTCCAGAGTCTCTCATGGGTCCCTGTACGGCCTCCCATTGCTGCTGTCTCCATCGCCACACTCTGCCATGTGCCACTTTCAGGTCTCCTCACACACTGCTTGTGTGTGTTCAATTTTTTTTGACATAGGGTGCTGGCAGATTACGGGCCTCCCATAGCTGCTGCCAGGCCCCTAATCTGCCATGGGCCCCTATATACCGCCTCCTCTCATGCTGCTGCCAAGTCCAGAGTCTCATGGGTCCCTGTACGGCCTCCCATTGCTGCTGTCTCCATCGCCACACTCTGCCATGTGCCACTTTCAGGTCTCCTCACACACTGCTGCTGGTGTGTTGAAATTTTTTGACATAGGGTGCTGGCAGATTTACGGGCCTCCCATAGCTGCTGCCAGGCCCCTAATCTGCCATGGGCCCCTATATACCGCCTCCTCATGCTGCTGCCAAGTCCAGAGTCTCTCATGGGTCCCTGTACGGCCTCCCATTGCTGCTGTCTCCATCGCCACACTCTGCCATGTGCCACTTTCAGGTCTCCTCACACACTGCTGTGTGTTGAATTTTTTTTGACATAGGGTGCTGGCAGATTACGGGCCTCCCATAGCTGCTGCCAGGCCCCTAATCTGCCATGGGCCCCTATATACCGCCTCCTCATGCTGCTGCCAAGTCCAGAGTCTCTCATGGGTCCCTGTACGGCCTCCCATTGCTGCTGTCTCCATCGCCACACTCTGCATGTGCCACTTTCAGGTCTCCACACACACTGCTGGTGTGTTGAATTTTTTTGACATAGGGTGCTGGCAGATTACGGGCCCCCATAGCTGCTGCCAGGCCCCTAATCTGCCATGGCCCCTATATATACCGCCTCCTCATGCTGCTGCCAAGTCCAGAGTCTCTCATGGGTCCCTGTACGGCCTCCCATTGCTGCTGTCTCCATCGCCACACTCTGCCATGTGCCACTTTCAGGTCTCCTCACACACTGCTGTGTGTTTAAATTTTTTGACATAGGGTGCTGCTGGCAGATTACGGGCCTCCCATAGCTGCTGCCAGGCCCCTAATCTGCCATGGGCCCCTATATACCGCCTCCTCATGCTGCTGCCAAGTCCAGAGTCTCTCATGGGTCCCTGTACGGCCTCCCATTGCTGCTGTCTCCATCGCGCCACACTCTGCCATGTGCCACTTTCAGGTCTCCTCACACACTGCTGTGTGTGTTCATTTTTTGACATAGGGTGCTGGCAGATTACGGGCCTCCCTCCCATAGCTGCTGCCAGGCCCCTAATCTGCCATGGGCCCCTATATACCCCCCGCCTCCTCATGCTGCTGCCAAGTCCAGAGTCTCTCATGGGTCCCTGTACGGCCTCCCATTGCTGCTGTCTCCATCGCCACACTCTGCCATGTGCCACTTTCAGGTCTCCTCACACACTGCTGGTGTGTTCAATTTTTTGACATAGGGTGCTGGCAGATTACGGGCCTCCCATAGCTGCTGCCAGGCCCCTAATCTGCCATGGGCCCCTATATACCGCCCTCCTCATGCTGCTGCCAAGTCCAGAGTCTCTCATGGGTCCCTGTACGGCCTCCCATTGCTGCTGTCTCCATCGCACACACTCTGCCATGTGCCACTTTCAGGTCTCTCACACACTGCTGCTGTGTGTTTTCAATTTTTTGACATAGGGTGCTGGCAGATTACGGGCCTCCCATAGCTGCTGCTGCCAGGCCCCTAATCTGCCATGGGCCCCTATATATACCGCCTCCTCATGCTGCTGCCAAGTCCAGAGTCTCTCATGGGTCCCTGTACGGCCTCCCATTGCTGCTGTCTCCATCGCCACACTCTGCCATGTGCCACTTTCAGGTCTCCTCACACACTGCTGGTGTGTTGAATTTTTTGACATAGGGTGCTGGCAGATTACGGGCCTCCCATAGCTGCTGCCAGGCCCCTAATCTGCCATGGGCCCCTATATACCCCTCCTCATGCTGCTGCCAAGTCCAGAGTCTCTCATGGGTCCCTGTACGGCCTCCCATTGCTGCTGTCTCCATCGCCCACACTCTGCCATGTGCCACTTTCAGGTCTCCTCACACTGCTGGTGTGTTGAATTTTTTGACATAGGGTGCTGGCAGATTACGGGCCTCCCATAGCTGCTGCCAGGCCCCTAATCTGCCATGGGCCCCTATATACCGCCTCCTCATGCTGCTGCCAAGTCCAGAGTCTCTCATGGGTCCCTGTACGGCCTCCCATTGCTGCTGTCTCCATCGCCACACTCTGCCATGTGCCACTTTCAGGTCTCCTCACACACTGCTTGTGTGTTCAATTTTTTGACATAGGGTGCTGGCAGATTACGGGCTCCCATATAGCTGCTGCCAGGCCCCTAATCTGCCATGGGCCCCTATATACCGCCTCCTCATGCTGCTGCCAAGTCCAGAGTCTCTCATGGGTCCCTGTACGGCCTCCCATTGCTGCTGTCTCCATCGCCACACTCTGCCATGTGCCACTTTCAGGTCTCCTCACACACTGCTGGTGTGTTGAATTTTTTGACATAGGGTGCTGGCAGATTACGGGCCTCCCATAGCTGCTGCCAGGCCCCTAATCTGCCATGGGCCCCTATATACCGCCTCCTCATGCTGCTGCCAGGTCCAGAGTCTCTCATGGGTCCCTGTACGGCCTCCCATTGCTGCTGTGTCTCCATCGCCACACTCTGCCATGTGCCACTTTCAGGTCTCCTTCACACTGCTGGTGTGTTGAATTTTTTGACATAGGGTGCTGGCAGATTACGGGCCTCCCATAGCTGCTGCCAGGCCCCTAATCTGCCATGGGCCCCTATATACCGCCTCCCTCATGCTGCTGCCAAGTCCAGAGTCTCTCATGGGTCCCTGTACGGCCTCCCATTGCTGCTGTCTCCATCGCCACACTCTGCCATGTGCCACTTTCAGGTCTCTTCACACTGCTGTGTGTTTCAATTTTTTGACATAGGGTGCTGGCAGATTACGGGCCTCCCATAGCTGCTGCCAGGCCCCTAATCTGCCATGGGCCCCTATATACCGCCTCCTCATGCTGCTGCCAAGTCCAGAGTCTCTCATGGGTCCCTGTACGGCCTCCCATTGCTGCTGTCTCCATCGCCACACTCTGCCATGTGCCACTTTCAGGGTCTCTCACACACTGCTGGTGTGTTGAATTTTTTGACATAGGGTGGCTGGCAGATTACGGGCCTCCCATAGCTGCTGCCAGGCCCCTAATCTGCCATGGGCCCCTATATACCGCCTCCTCATGCTGCTGCCAAGTCCAGAGTCTCTCATGGGTCCCTGTACGGGCCTCCCATTGCTGCTGTCTCCATCGCCACACTCTGCCATGTGCCACTTTCAGGTCTCCTCACACACTGCTGTGTGTTGAATTTTTTGACATAGGGTGCTGGCAGATTACGGGCCTCCCATAGCTGCTGCCAGGCCCCTAATCTGCCATGGGCCCCTATATACCCCGCCTCCTCATGCTGCTGCCAAGTCCAGAGTCTCTCATGGGTCCCTGTGTACGGCCTCCCATTGCTGCTGTCTCCATCGCCACACTCTGCCATGTGCCACTTTCAGGTCTCCTCACACACTGCTGGTGTGTTGAATTTTTTGACATAGGGTGCTGGCAGATTACGGGCCTCCCATAGCTGCTGCCAGGCCCCTAATCTGCCATGGGCCCCTATATATACCGCCCTCCTCATGCTGCTGCCAAGTCCAGAGTCTCTCATGGGTCCCTGTACGGCCTCCCATTGCTGCTGTCTCCATCGCCACACTCTGCCATGTGCCACTTTCAGGTCTCTTCACACTGCTGGTGTGTTTCAATTTTTTGACATAGGGTGCTGGCAGATTACGGGCCTCCCATAGCTGCTGCCAGGCCCCTAATCTGCCCATGGGCCCCTATATACCGCCTCCTCATGCTGCTGCCAAGTCCAGAGTCTCATGGGTCCCTGTACGGCCTCCCATTGCTGCTGTCTCCATCGCCACACTCTGCCATGTGCCACTTTCAGGTCTCCTCACACACTGCTGGTGTGTGTTGAATTTTTTGACATAGGGTGCTGGCAGATTACGGGCCTCCCATAGCTGCTGCCAGGCCCCTAATCTGCCATGGGCCCCTATATACCGCCTCCTCATGCTGCTGCCAAGTCCAGAGTCTCATGGGTCCCTGTACGGCCCCCCATTGCTGCTGTCTCCATCGCCACACTCTGCCATGTGCCACTTTCAGGTCTCTCACACACTGCTGGTGTGTTGAATTTTTTGACATAGGGTGCTGGCAGATTACGGGCCTCCCATAGCTGCTGCCAGGCCCCTAATCTGCCATAGGCCCCCCTATATACCGCCTCCTCATGCTGCTGCCAAGTCCAGAGTCTCTCATGGGTCCCTGTACGGCCTCCCATTGCTGCTGTCTCCATCGCCACACTCTGCCATGTGCCACTTTCAGGTCTCCTTCACACTGCTTGTGTTTTCAATTTTTTGACATAGGGTGCTGGCAGATTACGGGCCTCCCATAGCTGCTGCCAGGCCCCTAATCTGCCATGGGCCCCTATATACCGCCTCCTCATGCTGCTGCCAAGTCCAGAGTCTCTCATGGGTCCCTGTACGGCCTCCCCACACACACTGCTGTTGTGTTGAATTTTTTGACATAGGGTGCTGGCAGATTACGGGCCTCCCATAGCTGCTGCCAGGCCCCTAATCTGCCATGGGCCCCTATATATACCGCCTCCTCATGCTGCTGCCCAAGTCCAGAGTCTCTCATGGGTCCCTGTACGGCCTCCCATTGCTGCTGTTTCCATCGCCACACTCTGCCATGTGCCACATTCAGGTCTCTTCACACTGCTGGTGTGTTGAATTTTTTGACATAGGGTGCTGGCAGATTACGGGCCTCCCATAGCTGCTGCCAGGCCCCTAATCTGCCATGGGCCCCTATATACCGCCTCCTCATGCTGCTGCCAAGTCCAGAGTCTCTCATGGGTCCCTGTACGGCCTCCCATTGCTGCTGCCAGGAGGCAGCAGGGTCGCAGCAGTGTCAGTGGAGGCAAACGGCCACGGAGTAGAGCACCAGCTCCACTGCAGCCTACCACCACGGCCAGTAGTGGTGCCGGTGTGCACGGAGGAAGTAGCAGTCAGCCAGTGAGGAGTAGCGGAGGCAAAGTTTCCTACTCTGCGGTGTGGCAATTTTTCGTCAAGCCGCCCGAGGAAGTAAACGTAGCCGTATGTCGACTATGTGGCCAGAAAGTCAAGCGTGGCCAGGGGGCCCATGTTGGGACTACAGCGTTGCGTCAGCATATGCAGCGTCGCCATTCGGTGGCCTGGGAAAACCGTGATAAAGATACGGCGGTTCTGCCTGCCCCAGCCCAGGGTTCCATTTTGTCATAGGGTGCTGGCAGATTACAGGCCTCCCATAGGTGCTGCCAGGCCCCAAATCTGCCATGGGCCCCCGTACCGCCTGGTCACGCTGCTGCTGCTGGGCCCACAGTGTGACCTGGGTCCCTGTACCGCCTCCCATTGCTCCCACTCTGCCATGTGCCACTTTCAGGTCTCCTCACACTCCTGCTGGTTTCCATTTTGTCATAGGTTGCTGTATTGGCCTCCCATTGCTGCTGCCTCCACCGCCACACTGTGGCTCCAAACACTGGTTTTGGCCCCGTGACTGGCCAAATGAGTGAAGTGTGCGGTGATTCTAAGATCGACGGCACTCATCTGCATGTCATACTGAGTGACAGTATTATTTCTCTTCCCCAGCAGACTCCAAGGGCATTTAAATTAAAGGTACAGTGTTCTGCACTAATATTAAGTCTCTCTGAAGCCTAGAAACACCCTTTTTTAAGTTAAATTCACAGCGAATTTATTCGACTCGAATCGAATATTGTCCACGAATTCGCCGAATCAGTCGAATCGATTTTCATTTTTTCATTTCTTCGCTCATCTCTAATCATAAGAAATAAAATACGGCCAAAACTCCTCCCAGCTGGAGAATGCCGGTCACATCCGTTCAACATTGTTCTCCATAGACCTCCAAGTGTTTGTGAAATCTCCCACCACAAAATGTACTCAGCCAATCACAGGGCAGGACTCCATTTTTATTCTTCTCCTGCTATCAATGGCCAACCCGGTCCCACACTTCATCCATGTCTTTGGGGACCTCTGATCTCCTTATGAACTGTTTCTTCCATGATGAAGATCAGCCATGGAGTATATCTGAGGTGTATATCAGGGTGTGCTTCTTCCCCACATGAGAGCTGGGATGTCCAGCAACATTTATCCTGTGATGGTTTATGTAAGGATTTATTCTACTTATAAAGGGCGTGTCCCTTTCCCTTAGATGAAATATTACAGTGCCTCCAGCCGTTAAAATACGGCAAATATTTAGTGAACCAATAATTTGGAAACCTTAATAATTTGATCACCACTTATTATTATACCTTGAGTCCTTTTAGCCAGTATGATTTCGTACCATACACACAAAATTGCCTTTATCATAAATAAATAGATAAATTTATTTATGTACAAAAATTATATATATATTAACACAAAACGCAAAAGACTGGTGATAAATGAATACTGATTCACACGATCAAAGATATAATATACCAATACTATACACCAAACAATTCTAGATAGTAATAAAAATTAAAATTAACTTTAGTAATAAATGGTAATTTAGAGTACTTCAGAGATCATTTCTCCCAAAACGTGGCCATAGAAATGGGAGAAAATATTCTCTGATAAATCGTACTATAACCAATAAAAATTAATTATTTATGCAGTATATGTAGATTTTCAATATGATACCTGTCACGATATGGGAGCCTGCCAATTATTAATCCCCTTATTAATGCCTTGTATCACATGCTCTCAGAGTCCTGCTCTGTATTGTTCCAATTGTCCCCTGTGTCACTGGCCTAATGGCCTAATTAAATTACTCTGGACCCCTCCTCCCTTCCCCCTCATGCCAAATTCCTGAACTCTCTGGACAGGACCCATTGCCATGGTAACCTGACAGGAAGTATCAGGTTACCAGCTCAATACTTAAGAGAGAGCAAGGAAACCCCCGTGTGTGTTCTCCTGGCTGGGTGTGTGAGGTAAGGCTGTGCTGAGCGCCAGCTCCTCTCATCCCCCGTCCTCCTCCTCATCTCCTGGACTGTCTGTGTTGCCTGCAATCCCTGCACTGTGGAGGAATCTTCTGCTGTCCCCGTGAATCTGCCTGGATCTATCCCCTGCCTGGACTGAACCCCTTGTTCTCTGTGAGTACCTGCTTCCTCACTGTTACCTGAACTGTTACGGTGGTGACTCCTCGCACCCCTCTCCTGTGTCGGACTACCCCTGTTACAGGGACACCCCCTTGGCTCTCTAGTGGACTATAAGTGGGTGGGGACCCTCGTTACCATTTAGTGGCAAATCCACCCTCTCTGCCACCCAACGTATTGAAGGACTGCCATCTGTTTGTCTCAATAAAGCTTTGTGCATCTGTCATCCTCTCTGTGTGTTCTGTCCTGCCTTTCCTCCGTCACATACTGGTTGGCAGCGGTGGGATCAGGACACTGAGGAGATGACAGACAGCGAAAGCCAGCGGATGCAGGAACAGGCCCGGCCCAGCGAATACAGGAAGTGGACTGTGGCATGTCTGCAGGAGAGGGCTGAGGAGCTGGCCCTTTCCTGGAGGGGCCTAGCCAAAGAGGATCTGATCACTGCCATTGAGGAGGCGGACCCCCAGGACGCCCCAGGAAAAAGCAGATCAACCCCAGCCTCCCCAGCACGCAAGGATCCAGGGCCCAAGAGCCCCTGGCTTACTCGGGTGGAGGAAGAGATGGCCCTCCTGGGGTCAGATGCCACAGCAGAGGACAAGCGAGAGGCTATCCAGAGGGCGCATGAAAGAGAGAGCCAAGGGAGCCACCGTGACCCAAGCTGCCCGTCCAGCCCCAGGGCCGCGGGATATCCCCCTCCCCGGGTCAGCCGCAAAGACTTTAAACCCTTCAACGAAGCCGTCGGGGATGTGGAGGGGTTCTTTCAGGACTTTGAGCAGCAGTGCCAGCTCATGGAGGTGCCAAGCACGGATTGGATACGGCACCTCGTGGGTCTGTTAGAAGGGGGTGCAGCTGCGGCCTACCGCACTCTGGACTATGTGGATGGCCGGGATTACGCCCGGGTCAAACAGACTGTGTTGGAATATTATGCGGTGACCCCAGAAGTGCACCGGGCGCGCTTCCGTGACCTTCCCTGCCATGCAGAACCGTCCTATAGGATGTATGCGCACAAGATGTCGCAGTGCTGTCGGAGGTGGCTAGAGGGGGAACAGGCCCGCACCGCAGAAGAAATCATTCAAGCATTTTTAAAGGAGCAATTCTACAACCAATGCCCGGCGGAGGTGCGCGGATGGGTAAGAGAGAAAGCCCCTACCACCCTTGCAAAGGCCGCTGCCCTGGCTGATGAGATCCTGGCCATCAAGCCACACTGGAAACGGCAGGCCCCTGAACCGTCAAGGGCCCCGCCCCCCGCCACCTCTGCCAAAACGGGCCCCCCACCTACCACTGGCCAATCCCGCAGGGCCACCCCCCAGAGCTCGGTTCACGGGGCCCCCCATGGAGCGCCGCTGCTATGGATGCAACCAGCCAGGGCACCTCCAAGCTAACTGCCCCACCTCTCGAAGCCGGCGTTCTACCCGTCCGGTTCACTACCTGGAACTTCATCCCGCAGAGGAACCACTGCCCCCGCCTCCCAGCGAATGGATGGGCCCCCCAGACGCCAACCAACCCTGGGGGGTTTACAGTGTCCACCCCCCGGGGCTACATACTCCACCCAGAAACAACGCCACCTGCAGGCCGTGCGGGTAGATGGACATCCCGCAACCGGTTTTTCGGGATACGGGGGCCTTCCTGACCATCGCTGATCCCCGAGTGATCCGGCCGGAAGCCATCCAACCCGGCCCTGGATTCGCCATCGAGCTGGCGGGAGGAGCCAGACATCACATCCCCAGGGCATCCGTGCGCCTCGACTATGGGTTCGGGGAGCAACAGTGCCAGATCGGCATCATGGGCGGCCTCCCGGCGGATGTCCTACTCGGCAATGACTTAGGGGAGCTACGATGCCAGTATGTCGGGGCGGTGACCCGGCGCCAAGCAGGTCGAGGTCCTCCTACAGACGAAGCCACCACAGGACCTTTCCCCAGCATGGACTTGGTGAGTGAACCCCTACCTGACTCAGACCTTCCCCTGACCTGGGATCGGGAGACCTTTAAGCGGGAGGTAGCCACAGACCCCACCTTGGCTAAGTTTAGGACCCAGGCCGCCGCAGGGTGGCAGGAGGGAGATGGGGGCCAGCTTTGGTGGGAGCAGGGGTTGTTGGGGCACAGCAGGCCCAAGCCGCCCGGGTCAACCCTCTGCTAACCCCACACAACTGATAGTGCCCAGACGGTTCCGGTTCCCACTACTCCAGATAGCCCACGACATTCCAGTAGCTGGCCACCTGGGTAAGAGGAAAACGGGGCTGCGGCTGACCCAAGCCTTCTACTGGCCAGGTATCACCCAGGACGTAGCCCACTTCTGTCAGACCTGTGACATCTGTCAGAGGAGGGGACGCCCAGGGGACCACCCCAAGGCACCGCTCCGCCCCTTACCCATCATTGATGAGCCCTTTCAGCGGGTAGCTGTAGACATCCTGGGGCCCCTGGCCCGGCCCAGTAAGGCCGGCAAGCGGTACATCCTCACGGTAGTGGATTACGCTACCCGCTACCCCGAGGCTGTCCCCCTGTCCAGCATCTCCGCCCCCAAAGTAGCCGAGGCCCTAGTCACCGTTTTCTCCCGGGTGGGTTTCCCCAGCGAGATCCTGACGGACCAGGGTACCCAGTTCATGTCCGAGGTGGTCCAATTCCTCTGGCGCACGTGCGGGGTAAGGGCGATCCGGACCACTCCCTATCACCCCCAAACCAATGGCCTCTGCGAGCGCTTCAATGGCACACTGAAGAGCATGCTGAGGTCCTTCGTTGATGGGGAGGCGGACTGGGAGAAGCTTCTTCCACACCTGCTGTTTGCATATCGGGAGGTACCGCAAGAGTCAACGGGGTTCTCCCCCTTCGAACTCCTGTACGGACGGAAGATCCGCGGTCCCCTATCCCTGCTCCGGGAACATTGGGAAGGGCAGATAGAGGACACGGGTACCCCCGTCGTTCCCTACGTTCTCGAGCTACGGGAAAGGCTGACCCGCCTGGGCCACCATGGCCCACGGCCACCTCCAGGCAGCCCAGACACGTCAGAAAGTCTGGTACGACCGCAAGGCACGCGGCCGCGAGTTCACTGAAGGGCAGCAGGTGCTCAAGATCGTCCCCAACCCCCAGAATAAGCTCCAGCACATCTGGAAAGGACCCTACAAGGTCCTCCGCAAGATAGACGAGACTAGTTACGTCATTGGTCTCGACGCCCGCAACCGCCAACAGCGCACGGTCCACATCAACATGTTGAAAGAGTACCATGACCGGGCTCTGCCCGTGCTCGCTGTCTGCCCCGCCTCCACGGGCGGAGCAGACGAGGGAGCCCTGCCCGATCTCCTGCAAGCCACCAAAGTCACCACTCCCCTAAATCAGATTCCAACGGGGGCTCGGCTGAACCCCCGCCAGACGGCCCAGATGCGGGCCGTGATAGTGGACCGGGCCGTCGCCTTCTCGGCCACCCCAGGTCGCACCGGGTTAGCCCTCCACCACGTGGAGACCCACAGTCAGAAAC